ATTTTTTTTTTGGAATCCCAAGGAAAACTTGCGGCCGTCACAACCATTGCCATAACCTCTGCCTTTGGGTAAGCACACTGTGCGCACTAGGTCTCCATTATGCAATAGCCTGCAAACCACACAAGGAATGTAAACCAGACTTAATTAGAAAGTTTCGGATTTTAGTTTGAAATTAACATGTATAATACGAAACATTTGCACCTTTAATAGGTCTACACGATTCAAATTTGAATTAATCAGTCAGTCCAATGAGTACTAACTCAGAATGAAAAAGGGCAACCCGATGCCCTAAACTTTCGCTATGCGCGGAGTCTGGAGAAGGGTCAGACCACCAAAAACCTATTGTACTCAGTATTATCCTGCATTTCTGCAATAAACTATTTCCACGGCTTGACTCAGCAACAACTTTTACTAATTCAGAATGGTTATACAAAAAAAATATATCACATTTGTTTTGCAATTTTTTATAATCATGAGGTTTGGAAAGAAAAAAAAATAGAAAATAAAAGAATTTCACATCCATTCAGCAGAAAATGTGCAGAAATCATGGAATTGGCACTTTGCATATGACAATGATGATATCTCTTTTATCATTGTCAACAGACTTTAATCATTTCATCACAGCTTTTGTAGCATATTCCTTTGGAAATTAATTAATTAATTAATTAAATACTATATATATTTTAAACGCCGCAACTTTTGATTAATTACCCCTCATGTTAGATTAAAGATCAACACCATATGCTAATCCAATTTTACAAGTTTCCTAAGATATTAAGTATGAGATTAGTGTGTGGATTAATTTTTTATAATTAAATTACTATTGTACTTTAATCAGAAGACCACCAATCGAAAGGTTATGGATTTAATTTAATCTCATGCAACCCGACGAATTCAATGAGTATGTCAATTTACTTTTTCATTTTTCAGAGAGAAAAAGGTAAAATTTATTCATATATTATCTAAAATTACTTAATTTTACCTGTCATTAAATTTTTGGTCTAATATATTACTATCACCGATAGATAAAATTTCAATTTTGCGCTTGGCCCTTTACAAAACGTAAAAATAGCAAGGTATAGCCAGTTTTCAGACTGATCATTCAAAAACAGCCAGCATTTACGAAGTCAATGAAAAATAGCCACTATTTTGCTGAAATTGAGACCGGTCCAGCATAATATACTGGAGTTCGATGCACCTGTATATGAACTCCAGCATATTATACTGGACCGGTATGCCTTGCTGACTCCAGTATAATATACTGGAGACTGGAGCACCGGTGCTCCAAACTCCGGTATATTATACTGGACAATTATACTTGCTAGAGCTCCAGTATATTATGCTGGAGTTCTAGTGTACTTATGATTGAACTCCATCATATTATGTTGGAGTTCAAGCATACTTATGCTGGAACTCCAGTATAATATACTGGCGTATTTTTCGGTTTTGAACAGTCTTTTTGCTCAGATTTATCTTTACATGAAAAGTGGCTAAATTTCGATTACTTTTGAAATTGAGATATTTTTGAACTACCAGTTGTAAATCTGGCTATTTTTGAATTTCACTTCAACCAAATGGTAATTTTAGGGCCCGTTTGGCCATAAAAAACAATTAAAATTTTACTTTTTTTTCGGGATCCGCGTTTGACCATGAAAATTTCAAAATTGACTCAAAATTTTTTGAAAATTTTAAAAACTCCAAAAAACAGTTTTTCAGAATTTTTTCACTTCAAATCACTCACAAAAATTTAAAAACAACTCCAAATTGTATTCTTGACCAAACACAATTTTAAATTTCAAATACCAATTTCACTTGATTTTTTTTTTAATTTCTTTTCGGAATTTCACAATTCTTATGTCCAAACGCCCACTTAAGCTATAATCAAATGTTAAAGGATAAATTTAAACTTTTTTTTTCTTAAAGACTTAATTTGGACTTCATTGGACACGTGAGAAATCCAATTATTTTTCGATAGAGCTCTTATTAAAAATAAGGGCAAATATGAAATGAGTTGCTTATAGTCAAGATATTAGTAAACCAATTATTTTTACCAAAAGACTGCTATGTTTGTACTACACAAGAACAACCAAATCCCATGTTCTAAGTGCCCGTTTGGACATTAAAAAAATTTCACTTTTTTTGAATTTTTTTCACTTTTTTTTCAAATCAGTGTTTGGTCATGAAATTTTCAATTTTCACTTGAAGATGAATTATGGAATTTTTCAAAAATTTGAAAAACTCCAAAAAGGTATTTTTCAAAATTTTCACTCATATCATTCACAAAACTTCAAAACAACCCAAAATTATATTCATGTCCAAACACAACTCTAATTTTCAAATATTATTTTTACTTGAATCTTTTTTATTCACTTTTTTTTTTTTTGGAATTTTACATTTCTTATATCCAAACGCCCACTAAGTTTTTATAACCTGCCCTCACTCTTTTTACTATATGCTTTTTCAAAGACAAAAAGGACTAAAAACATGACTCCACTCTCAATTCTTCCCACCAATAACATGTGCAGTAGTTATGGTATATGTGGCCACTTTTGTTCTTTTTAATAACGGTAGTATTCGGACCAACTTGTGTATATTTTAACTTTTTTATGGGATATTTACTATCTTCCATCAGCCCAAATATCTGATAACGTAGACAAATCAAAAGAAATCACTTAGCCCCCGTTTGTCCATACATTTTGGCAATTTTTTTTCAAATTTTTTTTTGAAAACATTGTTTGTCCATAGATTAGTGATCTGTTTTTGAAAAATTTCTGAAAATATTTTTCATGTTTCCAAAATCTAGTTTATGGTAGATTTTGGGTGAAAATCAAGTTCCTACTCACAAAACTTCAATTTTTTTTCAAATAAAATGCATGTCCAAACATAATTTCAACTTCCAAAATTTATTTTTCAAAACTACTTCAAAAATTATTTTTTCAAGTTTCAACTCAATCTATGTCCAAACGCTAGCTTAGTATCGGTTATTTTTGCTCGGATTTGGAATCTGACCTTTTATTATATTAACCGACTTCATTGACCGATAAATCATGCCCTTAAATGTTATTTTACCTATTTCTCTTCAAGAAAATCCTTACCGGATTCCCCCTCCTCCACACAACAATAATAACAATACTTCAGTGTATTTTTACAATGTAGGGTCTGAAAAAAATAATATATATACATAGATTTTACTATTATTTTGTGGGGGAAAAAGTTATTTTCAATAGAACCTCGGCTTAAAAACCCCAAGTACCTCACTTAAAAAAAAAACACAAACAAAAAAAATTAAAAAATTTTCTCATAAAGCAAATGTGATTTGACTGTGGGATCTAATATTGATTGAGATTGGGCTCTCTTTATNTTTTTTTTCTCTATGTTCTATTTGGTTTTCTACCTTTTTCCATTAAAACTTTTTTTTTTGGGTCAATTTTTCTCACTATGATGGAATTCACATAGTTGAAATTTCCCACAAATGCTTTTTCCTTTTTCTAATTGAATTTAAAATTGGTAAAGTTTATATTTGATTGCATAGCTATGTTTTTCATTAGCTAAGCTCATTTTCTTTAATATAAGCCATTAAATTTGTTGTTGGTTGTGAGGTTGTTTACTCAAGAAACTTTATAGTCTAGCATTATTTCCAAATAGAGAAGAGTATCCTAGATTTTTTTTTATTGTTTTTATTGCTATATATTTACTAGTAAATGGAGTCCCCAAATGAATAAAAAAGGAAAAAAGAAAAACGAAAGGGATTGTACGTAAATAGCCGGTCAAATTCATTGTTTACTTTTTTAGTCGGTATGCATAGATTATACGTCGATTATACATATATTATACATGAATTATACATATTTTACACATTTGCCGGCTATTTTTAATTTAGGAGATTAGGTGGACGGGTTTTTGGGTTAACTCTTCAAAACGAAAAGCATCAATATTAAATATGTGAACAAAATTATTAAAAGTATACAACAACATCAACAACTACAACGACGACCCAGTGTAATCGCACAAGTGTGGTCTGGAGAGGGTAATATGTACGCAGACATTACCCCTACCCCGAGGGGCAAAAAGGCTATTTCCAGGAGACTCTCGCTCAAGAAGGCAACAAGAGACGATATATTAGTACCATCAATAGAATCATAATAAAATAACAACAATATAAGAAATACGAAATAAATACAAAGTACAATAATAACTAACAGGTAAAGCCCTACATCAGTAGATAACCACTAGCATCCTAGCCCTACATTGTTGAAGTATATTGCATCAAAAAATATATTTGGGCTTGAGGCCCATTTAAGTACAAGATTAGACTAAAGTTTTGAGCCCAAAACAATGTCTTGGGCCGAGAAAGGCCCATCAACAAAAAACTGTAAGCCCATCAACTTTCTATTATAAAAAAGATCGACACAAATGTACAACTCTTTACACCCAATTGCACCTCTCTAGCCAAGAAATTTGTTTTGCAAATGTAGCCCAAAATAATATAGCAACTGGGTAGCCAAAAGCCATAGTAGTTCTGTGTATGAAGTTCACTTTCAAATAAAAAAAGAGCAGTTCGGTGCACTAAGTTCCTGCTATGCGCAGGGTCCGAAGAAGGTCGGACCACAAAAGTATATTATACGTAGCCTTCAAAAACACAAACAAAAACAAAACAAAAAAAAAGAAGAGAAAATAGTATACCCCACTCTTGGCCTTATTGTGGCTAAAGTTCTAGTACTTCTTTAAATCGCAAACAATAAACCCATTATAATCCCACAAGTAGGGAGTATAGTATGTATGCAGACCTTACCTTTAACCTGAAGATAGAGAGGCTGCATTCGACAGATCCCGATTCAAGAAAGGATGAAAAAAAAAAATAGTAACAGCAAGTAGTGACAACAGTAAAATAAGATGATAAGGAAACCGAAACAAAAGAATACCAATACTAATATTTTATCACTATTAGTTTAATAACATGTGCTAAGAAAAGTATGTTAAACCTAGAGAAAAAAGTAACACTATATGCTCTTTTCATTTTTCATCTCTGGAAACAAATGTTTTATCACTGCACCAAGCTCATCAAAACCCTGGAAGCCATGAAAATTTCCATCACCAAAATTTGATATTTGATCATAATTACTTGGACAGTCAGGTGCACAGAGCATCTCGCATTCACGCAGGATCGAGGGTTGATCATAATTACTTGATGACAAGAAATTACTCCTAATTTCTTGGATAAATTGATCGCCAAACTCTACATTATTCTTGAAACCTAAAAAATTTTCATGCTCCATTTTTGCTTCATAAGGATACATGTTGATATCGGACAAGATTGAACTGTAGCTACTGGGTTCTGTCGAATCAGTATCTTGAATAATATTGTCATTGTTGGGAGAATTCATAGACTCATCATCATCTGTTGGCAAATCTTCACTATCGTTTTCTCTCTTGCTTCGTTTATTGACGTTCTTAGCTTTAGTGTTTATATAGATCTCGCACAACACATATTTGTCCAACTACACACAATTCAAGGGATAAAAACAAATATCATTATTTTTAATAATGATGCATCGAGGATTAATACTACGAAGCTAGATATCTATATATGCAACTCTCACACATACACATATATACACACAGATAAACATATCATATACACGTCTCGTTTCATGTGATGGTGTTTGATTAGACATGATGTTTAGAAAGAAAGAAGTTCTTTTAAATTTATGGCAACATATATACGAGGAATATAATATTTTTGTGATTATAAAAATATATCACTACTTGCAAAATAGGAAGTTCAAAATTATACTATTTCCAAATACATAAAGGTGACTTTTCTTTTAAACATACTAAAAAAATAAATGTGTCACATAAAATAAAACTGAAAAATTATAATAAATCTCATCCTTCCATCACTAAGTGAGCTACATGGTAGTCTAATCACAAAAAATAGTAGAAACACACAAACAAATAGTAAAAACTAAAATAAGTGAGTTTAAGTTATATATACATCGTTTCTATAAAGAAAATTTTAAACTATCAGGTATTTGATATTTATAGGTAAGAAGACTTCACAAAAAATAAAGTTTGTAATCTTGAAAATAAAATAATGTTATATCAGATTACGTGACATAATAGTATAAAAATTTCTTTACACAATATATATTATGCAAATAAAGGGGCAATCATGTGAACAAGCATCTCGTGTTCACGCAGGATCCGGGTAATAAGAGCCGTACCCGGCCTAAGGGAGTTTGACGTAGACAGACTACACTAATGCTAAACATTTGTGGCTGTTTCCACGACTCGACTATTATGCAAATGAGTAAATATAATACTAACCTCCTGGTTTTCAATAGAGGTATTTGCATCAGGTAGAGAACTTTTACGATCAAGACGATATTCATGCATTTTCCATTGAGATTTTACTCCATTTTGTTCATAAAAATCAAGTGTCATTTTGTAGCCAACAATTTGGCCATTGTATTTAACCTCTGAATCAACACCTGTAGCTTTCCAATAGCCTTTATTGCCTATCACTTGTCTATTTGGTTTTCTTCCATTTTTGTACCTTCTTTTCCTTCCAGTGAAGAAATACCAGCTCCTCTCTCTTTGTTGGCTATCTGTACAAAAGATATGCAAATTAAAAAATTGTTTAAAAATGGTTACTTTTGCGATAACAACAATAACATACCCAATATAATTTGCCAAGTGGTATCTGTGGAGGATAGGTAAAACGAAAAATTTCGCTAAGAATGTCTGAAATTTGATATATGTGTGGGCAGCCCGGTGCACTAAGCTCTCGTTATGCGCGGTTCTGAGGAAGGGCGGACCACAACGGTCTATTGTACGCAGCCTTACCCTCTATTTCTATGAGCCAGTTTCCACGTTTCGAACCTGTGACCTCCTAATCACGTGGCAGCTGTATTGGTCAAAATCTGACAATATAATCTGAGAAGTGGTATCTGTAGAGGATAGTGTGTACGCAGACCTTACTCCTACCTTGTGAAAAATAGAGAGGTTGTTTCCGATAGACCTTCGGTAAAATATTAGGATTAAGTTATATGCACCAACAACCATTGGTAAAACGAAAAATTTCGCTAAGAATGTTAGAAATTAAATTTGATATATGTGTGGGCAGCCCGATGCACTAAGCTCCTGCCATAGGGGTCCGTGGAAGCAGTGGCAGAGCCAGAATTTTCTCTAAGGGTGTCAAAATATAAATAAATAAGCATATGAAAAAATTAAGGGGAGTCAACACATAATATATATATACATAAAAATAAAATATTTAATCTATTTACGTTATATAATTTCCGAATGAAATGGAGTCAATTGACTCCCCTTGCTAATGAGTGGCTCCGCCACTGTGTGGAAGAGTCGGATCACAAGGGTCTAATGTATGCAACCTTACCATGTATTTCTGTAAGCTGTTTCTACAGTTTGAACCCGTAACCTCCTGGTCACATGACAACAACTTTACCAGTTATGTCAAGTCTCACCTTCTGAAATTTGATATATATAGTACATTTTTTTACTAAGAGTGTTAACTAAACTAATTACCATTGAGGGTACCGCTAACTATAAATATATCATGACTATAAGAAAAAAATAATATTTGCGGCATATTATTTTTCGAAATACGCAACATTAATAAATTCTGTCATAAAATCGTCACAAATATTTTTAATAATTCTATTTCAGTAAAAATATTTTAATAAGTTTAACTAGTTCCTATTTCCCACTAAAATACTTATCCACCATATGTGAAAATTGGACTTGAGCTTATCTATCTCTCTTAATTTTATTTTGAGTATTTCTAGCAAAATAACTTTCTTTCCTTATTGGTAATTAACAACCTTTTGAAACTGTGCAACTGTTTAAATTAGTTATTCTTATTCTTTATCATTAAACCCATTAATCCCAAACAATCAACATTAAAGAAAGTGTTTTTACACTTTTCAATACTAATCTTGTTTATTATCTCCAACATCTCCATGTAAGGTAAAAGAATATTGCACCAGATAATATAATTAGGGTTTTGATAGTAATGTTTTTTCCCATTCGTTTTACAGTTCTAAATAAACGACATTAATTTTTCAATACCCGAAGGTGTGATCTAGTGGTCAATGAAGGTGGAGAAAAACATGAATTCTCGGGTTCAAATTTTAACAGATATTGCACCACATAGTATAATTAGGGTTTCGCTAGTAATGTTTTTCCACATCATTTTTTACGGTTCTAAAGAGACAAGATATTAATTTTCAACACCCGAAGGTATGACCTAGTGGTCAATGAAAGTGGAAGAGAACCATGAGTTCTAGGGTTCAAATTTCAGCATAAGCAAAAAAATATCAAGTAATTTCTTCTTATCCATCTAAGTCTTGGCGAAAAAAATACGTTATCTAGTACTGATAGGAAATAGTTGGTACCTAGTGAAATAGTCGAGGCATAGCCCAGACACCACCGTCATAAAAAAGGTCGAGGCTTAACCCAGACACCACCGTCATAAAAAAGGGTAAAGTATGTTTTCTAGTACCTTTGCTGTCGGAGGTAGTAAATACCCAGTAAAATAGTCAAGGCTTAGCCCAGACACCACCGTCATAAAAAAGGGTAAAATAATTGCTGGTACGAACTAGTAGGTACCCAGTGAAATAGTCGAGGCTTAGCCCAGACACCACCGTCATAAAAAGGACGAAATAGTTGAGGTGCTCACAAGCTGATCTAGATACCACATACAGAACAAACAAAAGGACAAACAAAAGAACATATGTAAAAATTTCAGAAAAAAAAGACTTACTGCAAAGTTCTTGAGGATGATGATGATTGATACATATTTCACGAATTCTATTTCTTGGCAAAGCTTCACCATTAATTTTCTTCTTCAAATAAAACTCAACGAGCTCACCATCTGTTGGTAAAAACATATAACCTATTGGAATTGAGTCAAAAAACTGTTCATCTGATAATATTTGGTTATAATTTTCTCTATTAATCTCCATATCTGCAAATAATTATGCTCTTAAAACAATGAGAATTATATTAAGAAAGAAGGAAAAAGACTAAGGAGTTATATATACACATGATATATGATTAGTGAATATTTCCCATGATAAAGGACGTAGTAATATTTGTACAAATATTAATGCAAATTCTACTTGAATTTTTAGTATAAATTCTATATGTGAGTTTTACGTTGTCATAAAGAAAAACAAATAAGAAATAGAAGATAAAAGGATTTTTAGATATTAAAGGCAGAGAAAAAATAATTTCAATGTCATAATATTGGACGATGTTTTAGGAAAAGAAACCAAGTAGAAAGATTTAGCCTTTTAGAATTCAAACTGGATTCCTAAATTTTTGGCGGGGTAGGGAAAGTGATAAAATTTAGTAGATATATTTTTTAAATATATCGAATGTTTTTTTTTTAATTTTATTTTATTAATATGATTTGCCACTCTTATTTCTTATTCGAGTATATGAAGCTTCAACAATTAGGAATTTTTTTATATATATCTTGCATCTACTTAAATTATAGGAATATGAGAGTCTTTTTGTTAAATTGAAAGAATTTTTTATTAATTTATTCAATAAAATTTATTTTAATTAACAAGTGATATAAATAAGAAAATGCTCGGTGAAAAATCAAACTATTGGCTAGCTATATCCATATCTTTAGGCGTGATATACGGTAGAGAATCAGGAATTTGTTTCTCCTAGTCCTATGTAAAATCTTAAAAAACAAAAAGAATTTTTTCTGTTTAAAATAAATAAATAAAAAATAAAGTATTTTATTTTGGATTAAATCATAGAATTGTTCTACATCCCCCACCCCGACCCCTCCGAAGTGCTTATTTTTCTGTTTAAAGAGAGTTATTACAACATGGAACAGATCTTAACGATGCAGTTTCTAACAAGTCTTTGCGATAATTAAAGAAAGCAAATAAAGACACTATGCCAAAATAAGTATTTACGTTCAGCAGTCCCGCTCGGCAACCCAAAGCTAGTTGAAATGGAGAAAAAAGCCAAGTTATTACAAAACAATAAAATTTCATTCTATAAGGTAAGGCTTTAGTTTTTACCGGAAGTTCAACTTAGAGTTGATTGACTGGTTACCTCCAATAATTGGTAAAAATTGCATGGGGGCGCCCTATTTGGTTGCCCCCATTTAACGTATACCCATTTTTTTAAAAAGTTTTAATCTGTACCCAGTTTTTAAACAACTTTAGCCCCTTTCTCCTCCTCCTTTTCCTCCTTCGTTTTTTTCTTCAAATTTATCGTCAAGAACGATACTGCTAAAAATAATATAACGTTTATTTTTGAAGATCTTGGTTTTTTCTCATTTTCATGTAGCAGGGAAATCAGAAAAGAGAAACAGTCCGGATAATGTGACAGAGATCGAGGGCAAAACGTATTATCAATTTGCTATTCTCTTGTTTATTTTAGTGATCATTTTAGGCTAAAATTTTTAGCTGGAAAAGAAATCTGATGTCAAACTTGTTTGCAGTGGAATAGAAATCAAGGAAGCACTGAAAATGCAAATAGAAGTCCAGAGGTGTCTTCATGAGCAACTAGAGCTGAAGTTTGCCACTTACTAAACAAAAATTTTGACAGTTACAAACAAAAACTTCAGCGCTAGAGCTGAAGTTGTTACAAAATAATAACTTCGCCAGTTACAAAAACAAAAACTTCAGTCCCGTCTACTAGAATGCTGAAATTTTGCGTGATTGCCTTTGCTACTTCAGCCCCGTATGCTGAAGTTACGCGAAAAAGTGGTACGCTTGCAATTTTTTTTGCAAAGCGGGCACAAGTTAAAACGTGACCCAAAAAGCGGGTATAGATGCAAATGCCCCCAATAATTAACCCATAAGTTCGGAGGAATCAGAAACTATTGTATTTTTTTCTAAAACAACATTTTTCCTTGATTTTCACAATTACGTATGAAGAACAACAATAAAATAAGAACTTTGCAATAGCTAAGCAGGAAAATGAACTTGTATTGCTTTGGTTTGCGTGCTACAATGTGTGTTATCAAAAAAGAACTTCCTTTTTATATAGTAGGAGAGTTTCACTCCTAGTATAAATCTAAAAAATATAAAAATTCTCCTCTCTCGTTAATTACTGATCTGTAACCGCCATCGAACGAGATTCACGCCGTGATATCCTGTTGGTTCCGGGTATCACGACCCGCTATCTGTCGCCCATAACCATTCATGCCCTTCCCGAAGTCTCAGAACTCGTTCCGGGTCCGTGGTGCATCGTTTTATTAGGTCCGATGGCAAGCACTTCATTCGGGCCTCGATACAAGAAGTTCCCAACTTCGATTTCGATTACATGTATTCATACTCTTGCTTCATTTGACCTACTAAGAAATCGGGGTGTATGTTAGCCTCGGTTTCACCCGTATACAAGTTTAAAAGACAAATTATTAGTAACTTTTAAAGATTTGAATCCTAAAAGATAATTAAAAAAAAATGTCCCAGATATTTTGATTCTGTTGAAAATAAGTTTACCCCATTCAGTAATGTATTATCTTAGTTTTCCAACCTTTTCTGATGTGGAATTAAAAAATAATTCATTTTGCCTGCAAAAACACATTAATAGAGGAAACAAAGGCATCTTGGATTGCAAATATATTCTCAACTGAATATGAATGGATATTCTCTCTTTTAGAAATATCACCAAAACTCAGATTATTCACATTTTTTGCTATTATAATGCATAAAATATTAACATATGCTTCTCTCACGAGACATCAAATTAATTCAAACTAATTGGATTTTTTGGCACTCTTCAGTTTTTCCTTCCCACGATTAATTTGTTCGCATTTCATCTTTCCTTATATTTCTAAAAAAAACTTCGAATAAAATGTTCAAATACTGTCTTAGTTTACTCATGTGTTATATTGAAAATTGTGTATTAATTTACATATATAACAAACGAAACATAGTATCATGAAAGATTTCAAGATGTTTCAACAAAGAGTTTCGAAAAGTATAATTATGGTTATACAGTCAGACCTCTCTATAACGGCATCCTTATATAACAACACCTCACTATAAAAGTCAAGTTTTTCCGGAACCAAATTTCATGTTCTGTTATAATATATGTTTTCTATAATAGAAATTCACTATAACACCAAAAATATCTGGAACAAACGAGACTGCTATATAGAGAGGTTTGACTATATACAAGAGAGTAACTAATCGAAAAGTTGATATGGCATAAAATTCTTAACATAACTGAGTGAGAAACATAAGGTGTTCATCACATCAAATAGAAGAGTTTGTAATTTGCCATCATGACTAATTAACAAGTTTATACCATAGAATATCATTGTAACAAAAACGTCAATGAGTGAGCTTGGAATTCTCAAAGTGTTGTATCCGCTTTCTTAATCACATCAATGAGTCCAATATGTTGCTCGGATCTTCCGAAAATACACTATTTTTTGAGGATTCGATACGGATGCGACAGCTGATTTAATTTGGAGAGTCCACGCAATATAGGTCTAATCAATTTTCAGAGTTAAACCAACCGACATCTCCAAGTTTTGGCAAGAAGTACTACCCTTGTTCAACTCTGGACCAACAAATTTATGTACCTGGCCTATCAAACAATGTATGAGATCCTGAAAATAATACTCAAACTTGTCATCCTAATAGTTTTGGTCCAAACCTTATATTTGTCTTACGAAATTCATTAAATATATATTAATTACTTCATCCGGTCCAAAATAAGTGATTTTTTGGCCTTTTTCTTGTGGTCCAAAATAAGTGATTTTTCCAGATTTCAAGAATGAATTAATTATTTTTTTCCTACATTATCCTTGGAGTAACTAGTGTTGGAATATGTGTTAGGAGTGTTTATGTGAGATAGTAAAGGTTAATATGGTCAATTCCATTGCTAATTAATGCTAAAAGGTGGATTTCTTAATCTGTGTGAAAACATCCAAAAAATCACTTATTTTGGACCAGATGGAGTATTAATTTAGAACCCAATAATTTAACATGATTAGAACTCCGAACCCATAACCTTCAAATCATGGCTCCGCCTCTGATGACTCGAAAGGATATATATAATCCGGGATGAAGAGACCGAGTGTGGCAGCGTAGGTCCACGAAGGAACGTGCTCTTCGAAATTAGCAGCCTCCATTAATTGCGATATATATGTGAATCTCAACCCTTAGTCGTCTTATATTATAGCTGAGGACAAATCCTACACTAACTCAACTTAGGAACAAATCCTAACAACTTGTTTGGATTGTTGTTACGTGTCGTTTTATAATATATCGTATTGTATTGTACTGTGTTGTATTATATTATTTGACGAATACAATTAATGTTTGGATAGATTGTATTGTTTGTCGTTGTTTCATGATATTATGCACCAATAATATAAAGAATAAACTTGTAATATTACTAAAAAAAATAAAATACGGAGTAGAATTATTATATAAAGGAATAAAATAAAGGATAAAATATAATTATTTAATACTAAGGAAGGGCGAAAAAAAAGAAAGGTAACGAAAATTAACTGAATACAAACAAAGAAAAAAGAAGGCAAAATACTTTATCACTCCTCTAAACTTGTCACGGATTATTAGTTACAGTCTTAAACTATTTGCGGTCTTAATTACCCCCCTCAACTAAGCCTTTTGGAGAGCCATTACCCTCTTGGACGCTGATGTGGCAAATTGTGTGGGTGCACTCGCCTGCCACACAATTAATTTCAAACTATGTATTTTTATAACTTTTTAGATGTCTTAACTATTTATTTCAATTGTATAAATATTTATTTTCAGGTCAAATTCAAAAAAAAATTAAATAAAACTTTATTATTTTTAGCCAAATAAAATTTTTTAGCCTAAATAATATAGTTCTATCCAAGTTTTATTATAAATTGTATTCGAAAAAAATTATCTAAAAAAGTAACATACTTAAAAAGGTAAAAATATATTTTATTTCTCAAAAAAATACCACGTATACAGAAAAATTCGTA